TTATTTATATGTATATTTATATATATATATATTTCTATATGCATAATATATATCATATATATATATATATATATTATATATATATAATATATATGTATGTATATATGCTATATATCATGTATATTATGTAATACTCTCACTCACTGTATAATATTATATATATATTATATATATATAATACATATATTATTATATAAATATATTTTATATATATATAGTTAATATATATATATACATATGTTATAATATATATAGATCATGTATAATTATATATATGTATATCATATTTTATTTATATATATATACAATATTATATATAACATTAAATAAATATACTAATATATATATAATACATAAAATAAATATATTCATATATAGTTATATTATTTATAATATAATATACTATCATTTATATATTATATACATATACAGTTATATATATATCATTTATATTATATATATATATATAATATACATATTGTATTTTATTTATATACAATGTATAATTTTATATTTATCTTAATATATATTAACATATATATATATACTATTATATATATGTATATATTATAATAATATATATTGTTAATTTATATATATATATTATATAATAAATATACTCACTAATATATATATATGTTATATTATATAATTGTATAGTATATTTTGGTATACATATATATTATATAATATATTTAATTATAATTTTTATATATATATTATAATATAGTAATAATAATATTATATATTTATGTATATACATATATATATACGTGTATAATATATATACTTATATATATAGCTTATATATATTAGTTATAATATATATAGTTGTAATTAGTTATATGAAATTATATAAGTTATATATATAGTTATGATATATGTTATGTAATATATAGTTATATATATATATAATAAATACTATATATATATATTATATATATATATATATAATAGATATTATATATATATAATATATATAAAGATAGCTATGTTATTATTTATATATATATTTATATATGTATAATTTTGTGTAATATATTAGGTTATATAATATATACTCAATGGCATATATAATGTTAATATATTATATAGAGTATTAGATAATTTAGATAGATATTATAGTATATATATATGGATATTAAAATATATTATATGTATTTTTATATATTTAGTATGCCATATTATATATAATTATAATATATTGTTATTAAAAATATATATATATTATACTAATATAATTATTATACATATATTGCGCATATATATATTGTTTTAAATAGTAGTCTATATAATAATATATATATATATTTTATATATTAATGTATATATACATGTATAAATATGTAATATATATATATTTATATATATATATTATTTATATACTATTGTATATATATATATTATATAATTTTAATATATTATATATAATATATCAAATAATATATATTTATTATATTTATATATATTTCTGTATATTCTTGGTATATATATTGTATATATATATATAATATATAGTTTATATATATATGGCTATATGTATAGATATATATTAATATATATTATATATAATATATTTTATATAATATTTATATTTATTCATTTATATATATATAAATAGCATATATTATATGACCTCATAATATAATATATATATCATAACATTTTTATATATATATTATTTTTATTATAGTATATTTATTATATATTTGTAGTATATATGATATATATATATATATATATTTATGCATATATATTAATGAAATATATATGCATATGATATATAAAATATTAATATATAGTATATAAATATATATATATATATATATATATATTATATTATATAAGCTTGTTACCATTGAAACAGAATGGGTGTGGATGGAAGCTTAGGGCGCGTCGAAAATAAACAGACCCGCGTGGTGTACGTATCCCATCAATCCTTCCTTCCCTCGCCCTTTTGGTTCCCAATTCCTTTTTTTTCTTTTTTCTTCTCCTTTCCTTTTCCTTCGTTGAAGAAGTCGCATGGAACGTCCTAGCTGTCTCTATATTCTCTCTTCTCTTTATACTCACGAAAATCTAAATGGCCCGGATATTATATGCATTATAATATAATTTATATATAAATATATAATATAAATTATATATATATTATATAATCATATATATATACGGATTAGTATATTATAATATAGATATTGATAATACGTATGTATAAGTAATATAAATATATATTTATATAATAAATATATATTATATATATATATATATATATAATTATATATAAATTATATACTCCTATACTATAATATATTATTACCTATATATATACTATTAATTATATATATAAATATATGAATATATAATATTATTATTTATATAAATATATTTATTATATTAAATTATATATTAGTATATTAAAATACTATATTATAAATATCATATATATAAATAATTTTTGGTATAATTTGGTATATATTATGTATATATACATATATTGTAA